AGGAGGTTATTGGAGAAATGACCCCAGGAAACAGCAGTAGGGAAAAGGTAGGAAAAGTCAAAGACAAGCAAAGTGTGCCTTCCCACAAAAAGCAGCACTGTGAAAAACTCGAGTTTAATCCTAAAGGGGGAATTGTGTAAAGGTGTGCCTTAGACTTTGTCACAGAAGGGGCAAAGGAAAGGCGTATTTATATACCAATTTCTGCCAGGGTTAGTTGAGGGTTGCTCCTGAGTGTTAGTTTCCGAGATTTTTGACCGCTAATAACTGCAGGGTTTCTTTGGAAGTGATGAAATATTCTGCAAGTGGATGATGGTGGTGATTGTACTTGTGAATATACCAAAACCCACTGAATTTTATACTTTAAAAGGGTTAGTTTTCTTATAGGTGAACTGGATTTCATATAATACTAGAGGCCAGGCACATGAAGTCGTGCACAGCTGGCCCGCCTGGATCGGGGCTGATCAGGGCTGGGATGGCTGGGAGAAGGGCCTATGGGGTGTTGGCTGGCTGACCCCGTCCCCTGATCAACTTCTGGTTAAGGGGACAATTTGCATATTAAGCTTTTATTATATAGGATATGCAAATTGTCACTCCACCAGATGGACCATTTTATGCATTCTATTTAATAATTAGCCATAGATATGATTGTTCCACAACTTATTCAACCATTTACTGATGGGCAGTGAAATTGTTTATTGCCTTTTGTCTCTACAAACTATTTGTTTATATTTATTCCTATTTGTTTATGCTTTTACTCCATAGAGCAGATTCCCAAAAGGGCAATTCCTGGTCAATTTTCAGCAGATACATTATCTTGCAAAAATTTAGCAACTCACAACTCACCAGCAATAAATGAGATAGCTGACTTACATATGCTCTCACCGGCACTGATATTTTTTTCACTCAGAGGTAAAAATTATTTTTATCTCCATTTGAGATTCAGTATCTTTTTATGTCTATTGGCCTTTTTCAGTTTCTCCTTTTATTGTCATTTGTCTATACAATTTACTTTATAAAAGCTGTTAAATTTTATCATATGCTACAAGTATGTTTCCCCTTTATTCTGTTGGCAAAACGAATTATTTTGATATATTACTTATTCATTGTATTTGGGTTGAAATGTACCTGAAATCTAACAGATAGGCTGTTATTTGAATAACTAGAATTTCTATTTTTACTTAGACTATTTCTACTAGTAATATTGATCTATCGTTCTCTTTTTAGTTATATTTATCTCGTTTTGTCATTTAGCCTGTTTGCTTCATGAATATGACTTATGGGATCTCCTCTTTTTTCTGTGAATAGTTAAATAACAGGAATCATCTGTTCTTTGAGGATGAACAGGTTTCGATGATAAAATCATCAGGTCCTGGAGCCTTTAAAAAGGCAGGCTTTAGCCGTGTTCCTAATTTGTTACAAGCAATGGTCTTTTGGAGTTTCCATCACTTCCTAAGTGAACCTGGCTTATTTATATTTTGCCGGAAAATCATACATTTCCCCAATATTGATAAGAGTACATATCCTTTTATAATTTTAATTTTAAAAATGTCTTCAGAGCTTTTACAGTTCCTAACATTGCATGTTTTCATCTTCCTCTCTTGTATCCTTAGGTTTTTCAGGGTTAAGTGAATTATAAGTATCAGGTCTGTTTTTATGTCTTCTAAGTTGTTTTTCTTTTTAAATTAATTTCACTTTCATGAATTCCTTCCTCCTATTTTTAGGTTTATTTTTTTTCTATTTGTTAAGTTGCATGTTTAGCTTATTTCAAGTCCATTTTTAAAAATAAACATTATTTGAGTTTTCTTTTAAATACAGCTTTAGCTGTGTCCCACAGATTTTTTAATTAAAAAAAAGATTTCATGTTCATTACTTTTTAGATAATTTTCCATTTGCATGTTCTTTATCTTCACTTCAGAGATGATTTAAGAGTTTATAAAAACTGTCTTTACATTGTAAGAGAAATACATGTCCATGGGAACATACTGGAACAGTATGAAAAGATGTACTATAACAAGCAAGATAGTCTCCAACAGAGACCTCCCAGTCCTCTCTCCAGAGAAAACTAATCTTGATCAGATTCTGGTGTTTCTCCAGTAATATGAATATACTGTACAACTATGTTGTGAAAGGCATTCCTTAACTTCTATTTTATTTTGTTAGAAGGCTGCCCAAAGTCATTGGTATGGTATGGTGGGTTTGAGGAGCCAAAGACTTGTTCTACTCTGGTCTTGAGTCTCTAACCCTTCTACAGTTCAAATTTGAGAAAGGGTCATGGAATGAACTCTGATGGTCTAAATTTGTAGATTTCTGATACTGGTTTTATTTTGTTTGCTGTGGAAGTCCAGAGATGAGAATTTATGACCTTATTTTTTTTTAAAAAAAATGTTTTTATTGATTTCAGAAAGGGTAAGGGGGGGGGGAGATAGAGGGGGAGAGAGAAAGAGACAGAAACATCAATGATGAGAGAGAATCATTGATCGCTTGCCTCCTGCATGCCTCATACTGGGGATCAAGCCCGCAACCTGGGCATGTGCCCCGACCAGGAATCAAACTCTGATCTCCTGGTCATGGGTTAATGCTCTTCCACTAAGCCACACTGGCCAGGCATGAACTCCTTAATCTGTGGAGCATCTTTAAGGGATGGATCCCACTTTTGGCAGGGAAGGTTCCTTTTGTTTAAATCCGATGATGATGGTGCCAAGAGGTGTTTGCAATTTTTCGACCCATGAACGCTGTCTTTCTTCCCCAAACAACACAAATAAATAACCATTCTAAGTAAAATCAATGCTTACCTTGTAAAGATGGGTTCAAGGAGGATTCTCCAGCAGCTCCGCCTCGTCTCCATTGTCAAATCTAGACACTTGCCACTCCTGAAATGGTTCCTAATGGTCTCCACTCTGTTTTTCACATTCTTGTGAAATCTCCTCCGTGTGTGTGAGATGAAGCAGATTGCCATACTGAAGCTGAGGGCAGCCTCTAGCCCAGTGGTTCTCAACCTTGGCTGCACATTAGAATCACCTGGGAATCTTTTTAAAATCCTGACTTCCGGCGCCTCATCCTCCGGAAATTCTATTTCTTTGTTACTAATGTTGTGGGCCCATCCCATAACAAAGAAACAAAATTTCCGGAGGATGAGGCCCAGAAATCAGGATTTTAGAAAGATTCCCAGGTGATTCTAATGTGCAGCCAAAGTTGAGAACCACTGCTCTAGCCAATAGCTTGCAAGAAACTGTAGCCCATAGTTAAACAGCCTGCAAGGCCTGAGTCCCACCAATTACCAGAGGGAGCTAGAATGTGTGTCCCTTTGAGTTAAGCCTGGCTATAACTGCAGCCTTCTGAGAGACCCAGTGTCAGAGAATCCCTTTAAGCTTTGCTCATATTTCTGTCCCAAAGAAACTGTTCTGAATAAATGTTTTAAGCCGCTAAGTTTTAGGGTAATTTGTTATGGAGTAATAGATAATGAATAGGCCTGTGTTTTAGAAGTTCTTTGTAAAACCTGTGATTATGGGAGCTTGTTTTTCCAGATAATTGGTCTGGGGAAGAATTATGTGCGTCACCCAACTCCAATCACCTGTTCCCATTGGCCCATACAAATGCAGGTTTTGAAGATAGAAAAGCAAAAAATTACAAATCAGATCAAGGAGAGAACAAAACTTAAAAATAAAAACATTACCATTATATGCCCATTAGAATGGCTAAAATGAAAGTACCAATACCAAGTCTGGAAGATGAAGACCAACTTGGCCTCTCAGACTTTGTTAGTGGGGTTGTAAAATGGATAGCCATTCTAGAAAAACAGTTTTGCAGTTTCTTACCAAATTAAAAACACACTTACTACATGACCAGCAGTCACACTCATGGGTATTTATTCTAGAAAAAGGAAAACTTTTGTTCATACAAAAATCTATACACAAATATTCAGAGTAATTTTATAAGTGATAGCCAAAACCTGGTGTATTAGCCAGGGTTCTTCAGAGAAATAACCAATAGGATGTGTGTGTGTGTGTGTTATTCGTTGTGTTGATGGAAAAACTCTGTGATGGTTATATTAGCTATACATGTGATCAAATTTCCTAAAACCACCCCTCCAAAAAAGTGAATGTAAAAACTTGTGGAAATCACATATGGTCTATGTCAGTTTCCTGATTTTAACAATGTACTATGGTTATGTAAGGTTGACATGCATTGAGTTCTTTTTAATATAGGTATAGTGGCACTGTATAATAAATACAATGCTTTGCCATCTAACTCAAAAGCAAAATAATCCACACTCCCCTATGCCTTAAAAGTGTGACATCTGGTCTGGCCTGTATGGCTCAGTGATTGAGCATCAACGTATGGACCAGGAGGTCATGGTTCATAGGGCACATGCCTAGGTCAGTGGTCGGCAAACTCATTAGTCAACAGAGCCAAATATCAACAGTACAACGATTGAAATTTCTTTTGAGAGCCACATTTTTTAAACTTAAACTACATAGGTAGGTACATTGTTATTAACTTAATTAGGGTACTCCTAAGGCTTAGGAAGAGCCACACTCAAGGGGCCAAATAGCTGCATGTGGCTCGCGAGCCGCAGTTTGCCGACCACGGGTCTAGGTCATAGGCTCAATCCCCAGTATGGGGCTTGCAGGAGGCAGCCAACTGATGATTCTCTCATCTTTGGTGTTTCTTTTCCTTTCTCCCTCTCCCTTTCTCTCTGAAATTAATAAAAACATGTTTTTTAAAAAGTGTGACATCTGACATTTTTCTCTTTCTTGTTTTGACATGATGGATATACACTGGTATTTTAAAAAGTCACAGAATTGTGGTATTTGTGGCCCTTGAAGTGTTGTCAAGTTCTAACTGTGTCACTGTGATCTTCAGTGTGCCAAGCAGCAGGGCAAGGTGATGAGTGCACCGTACACAGTCTCTGCCACGATTCACCCTCGCTACTGCAGTGTGAAAGTAGCCATAAACAATGCGTAAACAAATGAGCATCGCTGTGTTCCAAAAAAACTTTATTGATGGACACTAAAATCTGAATTTCATATAACTTTCACATGCTACAAAACATTATTCTCCTTTAAAAAAACATTTGATAATGTAAAAATCATTTTAGCTGGGAGGCCACACAAAAACAGGTGGCAAGCCAGATTTGCCAACCTCAGCCTAACCTCATGGGCCCTATTCTAAAGGTGGGGGGAAACCATAACGAAATAAGTGAGCACATAAAGTAGACAGTTTTGTGTTATAAATGAAATTAAAGTGTAAGGTGGTCAGGGGATGTGTCTCTGAAGGAATACATAAGATGAACCTGCACCTGAAGGATGAGAAGGAGCCAGTCATGAGAAAAGGTGAGTACAGAGTATTCTAGAAAGAGAACAGCAAGGGTAGAAACTGAAGGCAGGTACAAGTTTGGTGGATTAAAGGAATCAAACATGGATGGCACCATTGTTAAGAATTTAACTCTAGTTGACTACAGTAGGATCTAGCCTAATTTTATACTCTGGGTTTGTGGTCCCTTGCTAATTTATATGACCACACCAAGAATATGATATTTAAAAAGAGAGAGAGAAAAGGAGAAAATGCGTTTATTTTTGCCAAATAGTTCTAAGAAATACAGTATCTCCTATATGATCCAGAATATTGAGAACAAATATAGTTGGACCACACAAATTATTTCACTAAATGCTCATCCTTAAGTTATGCTGCTTCATTTTATATTTGCTTACAATACAAATGTTTCGCTCACTGGATGATTTAAGGCCATTTATAGCAGTTTTATGTAAAAAGTCTAGTTTCTTTGTAAACCTTAACATATTAAATCCTCTGTTTACATCTTTTTGTTTTTATGTTCAGCCCAATGTGAGTGTGCCAAGCTGGTTCTGATTTCTTCTAATACACTGAAGGGAAAATCATTTTTAAGTCTGCATTGATTTGTGGCAATATTTGTATTCAACAATCAAATGCTACACCATTTCCTTTTAAATGGCTATGCACTTAATTAGTTTCACTCGTGTGTTCAGCAATTAATTAGTTTTGGAGACTTCTATTTTGGTATTGAACCTGAATATTGACAGTCAGAGTAGAAACTGTATCAGGATTGCAATGCATGTTTTCCAATCACACCACATAAAAAGTTTTCACATTTGAAAAAAAAAAGTTCTTCATTGTAATATCATCTAATATCTTTCATAATTGTGAAATACACTTCCACCAGTTTCTTTTTTTCATTTATTTTCTCCAGTACTGCTTCTAGTAAATATGAGGCAAAGGGAAGCTGTAAGAGAAACACAGGAAAAAAAAGGATTATCAAAACTCTATATTTTCTTCAGTTCAAAAAATATACTAAATATCATTAAACCATTAAAACTTGGCTGTCTGCAACTTTGCATCCATATGGTACCCTACTGGGTCTCTTTTCAACTGATCTTGCTGGTTAGTGCGGGTAATTCTGTCTTTTACAATAAAAATGATAAAAGAGCTGAAGTAAAATGAAAAAAGATAAACGCCTTATTGAACAATTCATGGTTTACTGACCATGTTAATGATGTAATCTGCAATACAAGCAGCTAAGCCATTTATCTTCAATCAGCTGATCAATAGCAGGTTACAGTCATCTCTAGGGCCCAGAGCCCACAGAAATGGTACTGTATGTTCATCACTCATAAAAGAATGAGAGAGAACTATCAATACACTTGTCTGTGTTAGAGCTGAACATCTTAAGTTGTAGAGTAAAATTTCAGAGGGAAAAAAATGGCAAAAGTATACCCATTGATTAAGTTGTTATAGAAAAGTTTGGCATATCAAAGTGTAATACACATGTTGCAAACTGCTGAGTTTATGAAATGTAGAGTATATTTTTAAATTTCATAATTTATAGAACTTTCCTAGTAAAGTTTTATTGTCCCCCCTGCTTCACTGGGTTCCTGTAGAACTCCAACTCATACAATTTAAAATGCTCCCCAAGTACCTCCCTTATAGCCCTATCCACTTCCTTTTATCCTTCTTCCCTATCTAGTCTCACATAAAAGATTTATAATAATAAGTTCATTAAGTCATTTCTTGGAGTTGTCCTCTTGATTAACCAGTGAAAGGTATGTGTTTTTTTCCTGAATATACTGATGAGAATGCTTGTCATGCTGGATTCCTTCCCTACAGAGTTGTAACAGGCCCTTCTTTGTGCTAGGACGATCACCGACAGTATCACTGGTCAACACTGAGCAAAGACGGCCTCTGTATGAGCTGCTTAGCTGTGCTCAGCTCAGCTATGCCCAGCTAAGGTGATTACAATTAGCTAAATCAGTGGTCGGCAAAGTGCGGCCCCTTGAGTGTGGCTTTTCCACAAAATACCACATGCAGGCGCACACGTACAGTGCGATTGAAACTTCGTGGCCACACTCAAGGGGCCAAAGAGCCGCATGTGGCTCGCGAGCCGCAGTTTGCCGACCACTGCTCAACCAACCAGGACGGTTCTTGTCCAAATTTGAACTGGGTAAAAAGAAAAGATTGGCCAGCAGCAGTGAAAATAGTCCAGACAGGGACACACACAGGTGCCCGCATGCGCATGCTTGCACGTGTGAACACACACACACACACACACGTGCATGCACAAAAACCACCTTACATAGGTCCTGAAGGAGAAATAGAGACTGAAGCTGCGCCACAGAATTGTGTCAGATCCTAAATAACTTTCTAGTTTAACTTCCTTCTTAGCTTTATAATAAACTGCCTTATCCTTAAGAAAGTCTGTGTCTCTATCAGGACAGACTATATCTATAGTTTATATCAGAGCTTTACACATTGGTCTTACTGGACACTTACCATTACAGAAAGCATAAGATACCAAAATATCATGTATATTCAGTTCTAAGATACTGTTGAATATAAAAGGCACGCATTGATTTTAAGAAACAGCCTTTCCTGTGAAAAATTCTACCACTTGAATATACCCACACTGCATATGCATTCCAATTTCAGAAATGTAAAAATGTGGGGAAATGTCATCTTAGAATCAATGAAAATAATATAGATTGGGTACATTAACAACTGAAACTATACTTAAAATATGACATGCCTTGTATAGTCTTTAAAAACTCACATGGTCTGTTTGTTTGCCATATTTTTTTAAAGTGAAAAATGTTTTGAAAACAAAAGATCTGAACTTTCTATTACTTTGGAGTTTAGTTCATACAGTCAGTTTAGAGTCCACTGAATTTTCTCCCTATGACTCTAGAGGGGCTAAGGCTTTTCAGAACCCCCTCAAATACAGAAAGCACAACTGTTCTTGTACTGGTGAGATTCTGGAGTTGGATTGAAGCAGCAACATGATGGGACAACAGCATAGATTTTTTTTCTCACTTGCCCTATCATGTATATATAAAATATCTTTATTGTTGAAAGTATAAAAGATGCCCCCCCCCTTGGTTCTTGGTTAATCTCTGCACCCTACCTTCCCTCTAACATTCCATTCCCAACAATTATGCTGCCTCAAGTTCCATTTCCAATGACACATGCCAGGGAGTACAAAGCCCAGAAAGCCTGCCTGATTTCTTTCTTTTGCATCAAAAAGGAGAAGCAATACTCCCGGTAATGACAATGCAGAGTTACACAAGCTTGAATTCCTCAGCATCAGAAGAAAAATGGAAAGGTAAAGAGTTGATACTATGTGAGATTTCTTAGTTTGAAAATTCAGCTAAGGACATGTGATAATTTCACTTGTCTACACTGTAGTCTTAAAGTGGGTCTTCCTAGTTGGTCTGCCTGTCCCTGTTGTAAAAGGTGATTTCTATTACTGGAGGGATTTCTCCTGACTTCACACAGATTTTCAGTTTCTCTTACATGGAAACACCTACAGATGTTTGCCTTTAGCAACTGCTGAGCCACTGACAATCTCAAATTTATCACTTTCACTTACAAATAGTGGCTTCATTTAGAGGTATTTCTGGATAAAGCTAAGATACGAATGATGGTTGCATATGTTGAGAGCCACCTGGGAAATATAACAAAGCCTAAAGACCATGACTGGAACATAGTCATATAACTTAGAACATCAGCACTAATTGGAATGTAGTCCTTAATAATGTAAAATTAAAATTTTTTCTGCTGAAAGAAAATAATTAAAGTAAAGGTAACATAAATCTAAGGGACAAGATTAACATTTTCACCATTTTCATTCTTGTTTTTGGTTTGAAAACTATTATTGTAAAGATATTGCTTAAAAAATACGAATTGACTTTAATCTAGTTAGAGTCATATTGAAAGTGAATATATTAAATTTTATGTATTATACCTGCTTTTACAAAAGATATGATTCAGTGAGACTCTGAGACTTAAGAAAGGCCAATGCATTTTGAGTATTGTAAAATGAATGGTGCAAAAATTTAGTATAAATAAATATATAGAGATATACACACAGTGTATATATAAACACACATATACATTATGTATTTATATATGTACTAGAGGCCTGATGCACGAAATTCATGCAAGAGTATGCCTTTCTTCCCCCAGCTGCTGGCACCGGCTTTCCTCTGGCACCTGGGATCCGGGCTTCCCTTGCAGCCCCGGCTCCATCCAGAAGGTCATCTGGTCTAATTAGCATATTACACTTTTATTATTATAGATATTTTAAACACATTTAAATGGCTAGGGTATACTCTATTATCTTATAATTAAAAATTTTAACTTGTGAAAATAACCAATAATGCTATCAGAAGGAACAATTAACTTATAGTTTAAATCTGGCATGGAATTTTGAGCTAAGTATCCTAAAATAGACTCATAGAGAAGTCAGCATGTGCTATTCTCAAACTTTGGTAAAGTCTATAATTTGTTTTCACTTTGATTTTTGTCCCCAACTTTTTTATAGTGGTAAAATACACATATTACAAAACTTACCTTTGAACTTTACACCACATCTGTCTATTTTCAGGAAACATGAAAATAGGCGTGAAATCGTTAAATTTAAAAATCCCAGCAACACTCTAAATGGAGAATTTTAAATTTTTGCTATTTCAGATCAATATGAGAAATTTGTGTGGCTGACTGAGCATGTAGGCTTATGTGTGTAAGACAGAGTGGTACAATGTGAGTGTGCATGTGTTATAGGTGTAACACAGAAAGCAACAGAGTAAGTGTGTTCAGAGTTGAAATAAGAAACTTTCAGTAAACCTTTAGGCTAGAAGTTACTTTTTTTTTTTTTTTTTTTTACAAAAGCCAAGGAGATTATAAGCCCTCTCACTGCAACATTGCAAGACATTCTATAGAAGGTAAGCATATTCTGCAGAGAAGGCACTGGGGAAGCAGCCATTTTAAACTTCAGCTTTTATAAGCTCTGAAAAGGAACAAGGATGTGTAATGAAAAATCAAAAGTCTGTATTCTACATTCTCGATTTAAGGCAGAAAGACAGAATTTTTGATATTATCCCAGCACAAGAAAATGTAGTTGGACAAGATGAACTAAAATGGACTGAATGACAGGAGGGTGAGGGCATGAGTGGGGGGAATGGGGGTAATGTGGGGATAAGGACACATATGTAATAACTTAATCAATAAAAAAAATTTAAAAATAAAATAAAATAAAATAAAATGGGCTGAATGAAATCCAGAAGAGGATTAGCTAATAACAGAGACAAGGAAAAGACAAAACAAGTCTCCTCTCCCTCAAAATAATCCTACACACTGATTTCATGTATATTTCTAAAGCACAACTTTGATTACATCTTTTCTTACCCAAAAACTTTTCTAGTTTTGCCCTGACCAATGTTTTTCTCTCTTTGCTTCTTTTCCAATTCACTAAATTACAAAAACAAAACAAAACAAAAAACTAATTTGGTTGCTATCCCATCCTATTATAGTCATTAATTTGCTTTTTGTCCTCTGCCATAAATTGTAAGTTTTTGGGATTTTTTTTTTTGGTGTTTTTAAAAGGAATATATATTTTTACTGATTCCAGAGAGGAAGGGAGAGGAAGAGAGAGATAGAAACATCAATGATGAGAGAGACTCATTGATCGGCTGCCTCCTGCATTCCCCACACGGGGATCAAGCCCACAACCCGGGCATGTGCCCTGACCTGGAATTGAACTGTGACCTCCTGGTTCATAGATCGATGCACAACCACTGAGCCTGGCCATAAATTGTAAGTTTTAAAAGGCATATTAATGTAAAAAAGAAATTAATACAAGAAAACATGTTTAAAGAAATTATAAGGCTGGAGAACCAAGATGGCAGCATAGGTAAAAACATGTACTTGCTGCCTCTCACAACCACATCAAAA